CAGAGCTGCCTCTGCTTTGAGCAGGAGGTTGGACCAGAAACCTCCCGAGGTCCCTTCCAGCCAGAGTTATCCTATGATCCTATCATTTTATGAGGTCAGACATTATAGATACAATAGCAGACAATTACAGAGACTAACTTCTTCCTTAATATGAAGGTTTCACCCGATGTGCTGTACTTCAGGCTCTCAGAAGATATTTAAGGATTGCAGGATTGTGTCTGAAACCTGCTGTTATTTTAGCCCTTCATGTTTGTTTCCATAACTGCCACTGGTGACTTGGCCACAACCCCAGAAAACCACCATGTAGGTGGAAGGAGGGACAGAAAGAAGGGGTCTGCCAAGGAATAAGACACCTAAGCAGAATTCCTTTCCAGTGCAAATTCTCCTCGTTCACAGTGGAAAGTCCTCTAGAATGATTAGTTATTTTTTAAGTGATAGGGGAAATGTTTGCATGTGGATGTGGGGGAGTAAGTGCAGAGGCAAACCGGCTTAGAGGAAATTTCATTTTTCTGCTGTACTTATACATGTGATAAATTGCCTTAGAGGAGCAAACTAGATATTAAGAGTGCATTTATTCTGGCACGTCAGTGACAGGAGGCATTGGGTAGCGGCTGCTAGCTGAAAATCCAGCTTTAGGCAGGGACCCAGCTACTCCATATCAGGTTATACAATTGATAAGCAAATGGCTATTTTTCACTAGAAGCACTCTTAATAGCGAGATTTACAATTTCCCCCCCTCCCCCTGTGGTGTTATATAGAATGAATGAAATTATTTTCACCACAGAAAGAGAAATATTTTATCTTGACAAGAGCAAATGTCTCAGGCCTCATGGAGGCCCCCTGTGAGCAGGAGGTAGTACTCTGTGGAATAGCTGGGGTTTGTAAGCCTGATCAAAGAGTGTTTTTTTCCTGATACATTGTGAAGTGTCTGTGCCTAAAAATGACTGGAAGAAAATACTGGGTTTGTGTTAAGTATCTGACAAAATATCCCTTTTTGTTTACTTAGTTGCCTGTTTGTCCTGATATGCCCAGTCTCACTTTTCCATGGTTTACCTAAAGTTGTGTCTGAGCTTTGACGCTCTCGAGCGGCACACTAAAGCGGCCCCTGTAATTTGTCATAGCTTCCCTTACAAGTCTGCTTCAGAAAAGACCTTTGTCTGCCTCATACTTCACAGTGCTGTTTCCCACACCCTTTAATTGTCTCACCGCAGTTCATGGCTTGTTTCCACGGCGGACCAGCCACAGTCAGGGAGAAAAGCTAAGGAGGCATTTCGTGGTCTGGGGGCTCTGGCAGATCGAAACATCTATCCAGCCCGTGTTAATCAGTGGAGGGCAGAAGTGACATCTCACACTGTGGGGTACTGCAGGATGAACGGCAGCCGCAGGCAGTGGTTAACGGGCTGCAGTCGTCTGAAATAAAAAAAGAAAAATCACACAAAAGAGAATGGAAGGAGGTTTCTAAACCCGTATCATTCGGAGGTTAGTTGATGAAGCACCCCACAAAATCTTAGGCAGGCACAGTGAGGTAAGGACACGCGGTGTGTGTGTAAGAATGAGAGATGGGGGGAAGGCATCTGCTAAACTTGTTTTGTCACAGGAAAAAAAAAAAATGTCATGAAACCCTACCTGTAATTTTCTTGAAGAAATAGGATTAAGACCAAAAATAACTTTCATAATATTATATGAAATAACAGGAACAGTCATAATATAAAAGCAAGCTTTTCATTTCTTCTTGCATCACAAGAAAGGAAGAGGAATTTTTGCTTGCTGGTTAGTCAGCTCCTTATCAAGAGTCTGTGCTGTTTCCTCGGACGGGGAGAAATGAGAATTTTCCTACTCAGAACTAAGTCAGGGAGTTTTGATGGAAATACTGGAGTTCCCCTACTTGTTGGGTTCTGTGTTTATTCTTGCATTTCCTATCTGTAAAACCACAAAAATAGAACCAGAGCCATACCCTGGGAATTGTGTTTTGCATAAATTTAAAATACCCAGAAAGAGAGTTGGAGATTAAGCCTCGGCTGGCAGATAACTGTTCCTTGGCACAGTTCAGGGACAGCTAATCAAGCCTGGGAGCAACGTGTGGCCCCACAGAAGATTGTATGTGGCTGGAGCAGGCCTGTGCCAGGGTGGAGATGCCGGGGAGAAAGTCGAGCAACAAGACCCCCGGGGACACAGCTCATACCTGCGCTGCAGTGGTGGGTGCTTACGGTCACCTCTGAGACATACGCAGCTTCTGGACACTCTGCCTCTCCAGCACTCAGCAGTAGGTAGTACATATCTTGGGCACCTCACAAGAGAAAATTTGGGGGATTTAGAGCACAGGAAAGGTGGTCATACCCTCAGCCTTGACAACCAATCACCAAAGGGAAGAAAGTAACCAACTTGCTAAGAGTAATCTTATTCATGTCTTCTGTCATTTCTACATGTCTCAAGACCATTACTGAGCTCTTCTGACACATTGTAAAGACTCCTTTCCTACCAAAAGACGAGCTGATGATGATCTTCAGACAGGAGTTGACATGGAAGTCAAAAGGACCTGAAAAATGACCCCATCATGGTTTTGCTGCATTTTTCTGGTTAATGTTCCCTCAAATAGGCATGATGAGGAACCGGGTGAAGAGGTTGTCCACATCAAATAAGTGCTTTCTGAGCTGGCAGTCCTAGGTTTGCTTTCCAAACATAAACTTGCCCTTCTTTGTGACAGCACTTACAGGACATCACTTTCTTACCGTGCCTTTTCCCCTTACAAGATGAGAAAGAAAACTAGGTTAAAAGTAATGGCCAGAGTTGCTCAGCTCTCGCAGTGCATCACAGCAGGAGACCAGTAAGACAATGGAGAAAATGAGGTTTCTGGCTTGCATCGCTTTGCACTGAGGAGTGGCTTGCTGTCCTCTAATTGTGGCTACCAGTTTACTACACATTAAGGAACCTTGTTAGCAGAATGTGAACGCCACTTATTTGCCTCTCACTTGTGGAAGTGTGCCCTTTGGTTTTCTGTGCTTTGAGGAGGTCCTAGTTGAGTCATTGGAGCCATTTTTTTTCTTTTAACTTTGCCTCTTTTTATGGCCATGTTTTTCCAAAAAGTGTGTTCCTCCTTAAATGCTAAGTGTGTGCAAAGACCCAGAAAATTCCAACATAAAACCGGGTATTTGGAAAGAGCTTGACTTCAGCATCAAAGTGAAACTCAGTCTCATCTTTTGGTGTGTCTAGAGACGAACAGGCTTCTTTGAGGTCTGTTACGTTCAGGGTGCAGGGTGCTAGTCATGAGTGAACAGTGGCCGAAGGTCAAGCCTGTCAGGTTCTCCCACTGACTCACTGTGAAGTCCATAAACCCAGGTGGGAAATACTTCTTTGGGTGTTAATGATGCAGCTAATAATACAGTACTTCAATTTACAAACATACTCCAGTATATTTCAAAATGCTTCAATTTCACAGCCTTTAAAGCAAGCCCAAAAATGTAGAAGGGAACGTTAAAGTCATCTTAAATCTTCACAAAGGGCAAAAGTGATAGAATTAATAAAAATGGATGTGTTGCCATTAAAACCAACCAAAACCAGACAGCTGCTTCCGTTAATCCCCTCCTTCCCACTTCCCCTTCCTCCACGAAGGACCATTGCACACAGCCAGAATGTACCGCTTTTAACTTCCTATGTGCCAGATGAGAAGCCCGTGGCATAATTTGAATAAGGTGTGATGGGGGGGGTGGTTCAGACTAAAACATTTAATAATGGTGGCATGAGAGGAAGCAGTACCCTGACTGTGAAAAGACTTAGAGTGACAAGGAATGACTTCCCTGTGTGCACGAGGTGAGCTGCTTTGCATTTGTACGCCTTAGGGTGGTCAGATAGTGACTTGACAGTCAGATCCTGCACCGCAGAGACTTTTTTTCTCAGTGAGCTGAAGGATTTCTGTGTGGACCGAGGCACAGGGACCTTACGGGCAGCCAGCATGCCTGTGGAGCTTTAGAAAGCAGGCATTCTTTATTACAGCGTAGGACACACAGGGGAGAGCTCCTCCTAATGTGTGTGTGTGAAAACAGAATCAACAAGCATTTAGACTACCTTAATCATACATATTCATTGCATTTTTATCATTATCATACTCATAACTTTTCTGGGAACTCATTAGCCTACGTTAATGTCTCTTGCGCATGTCTGTTGGAGTCTCCAGGTGGTTGTCGGAGGTCTTTAGATGAAGGCTCATAGTATTCTTCACTGTGTTCACCAGTTGACCTTTACTTCTGCGCCAACTCAGTCCTGTGGTCACGTAGATCTTGTCCTTCCAGGCTGGCCTGCTCTGGTTTTGTTGCTAATTTGCAGCTTCCTTATCTTTATGTTTCTTTGCACCTGCTACTACAAGGCCGAACCGTCTCAAGTAAGATTATTTATGAGTTCCTCATCCTACAGTTATTCCAACTATTCCTGAAAAGATCAGTATTTGTTCTGCAGCACAATGACTAAATGGTTAAAACAGCCGAAGTTGACTTTCATAATTCTATTCCACAAATACCTATTTTCTAACAATCTTAGTTCAGGCCCCTGGAAGGGAGGGGAAGCCGCTTCTCCCCCCGCTCCCACAGCGCCCAGGCAGCGCGGCCGGGGAGCGGGCGAGCGCCGTGCCGGCCGGCACGCGTTTATTCACACATGAACATCCACAGATTGCCCCTGCAGCAACGGAAGGCGTGCATTATTTTTTACATTATTTTCACTCAAGCTTGCCCTCAGCCGCCCGTGGGATCCCCGGCAGCCTCCCGCGGAGGGCCAGCCCGCCCCTCCCCGCACGGCAGCGCGCCTGGGGCTGGCAGCTCGCCCTTAAGGCTGCCCTGCCCCTGCGCGGAGCCTGCCCGCCCGCCCGCCGCCCTGCGCGCCCCCTGAGCGGCCGGAGGGGAGGACGGAGCCACCCGCGCTCCGCTCCCTCCCGCCCGCCTCCCCGCCGCCTTCCCCCCCGCGGCCGCCCCGGCCGGCGGCCGCCGCCTCTCGCCTCCTTAAGAGGCGGCGTTCAGCTGGCGGCCGGCGCCTCCCCCGCCGCGGGGGTGAAAAGCGCCGAGTGCCCGCTATGGGGACCGGGACCCTGCCCCAGCCCAGAGGGACGGCCGAGCCCGCGGGACGTCCGGCGACCGTAAGCGCGGTGCCTCCTCCTTACGCGCTCGACGGCGGCCGCTCCGCGGGGCGGGAGGGGAGGGGGAAGGGCGCGGAGAGCCCGGGCTGAGGCGCGGCGGGGCGGGCGGCTGGCCGAGCCGCGTTCTGTGAGGGGGGGGGGGGGGGGGGGGGGCGCGGAGCGGCGCGGAGCGGCGTCTGCCCGCCGGCGCCGCCTCAGGCACCTGCCGCCCGCCCGGCCCGCGGCTGGCGGGGAAGGCGCGCTGCCCGCCCGCCGCCCTCCTTCGCGGCGTGCCTCCCCGCTCCCCCCCCCCCCCCCCCCCCCCCCCCGAGCACACAGGCGCCTAAAGCCCGCTTTTCCTGAGGTAAAATAAAAGTAGCGAGAGGTAAAAAAGCACCTGCGGCGCTCGCCGCGTGTGCCAGAGCCGCGCAAGGCGTGCAGCGAGAGGGGCGAGGGCATGCCCGCGGCGATCGGCCGGCAGCGGGGAGGAGGAGGGACGGCGAAAGTTGCATAAACTGCGTTACTCATTATCGGTCCCTCGCTGCCGGGGCGGTGGGGCCGTGCTTGCCGCTGACCAGTGTCGCTGGAACTGATTCTGGCAACGGTCACTGCGGATTCGGCCATCTCGGTGACATCCCCGCGCAGTACGCGCGATGAAGCAATCCTCTTGAAATTTATAGGGAAGTAAAACAATACATCTGTTAAGGAAAAATTTCACAAAATGTCTGCAACAGCAGCTTTTGTTTGGGTCTGATATGAAAAATACGTGTGTAAGAGTTCCTGTTTGTAACTTACAGCAGGCGTCTGTTAACATATATCAGAAGTGCGATCACAGACCATAATCCCTGGTTTTCACGGGGTGACATGTTCCTCCTTGGGACCAAGCTTGCACACTTGCTGCTAGCGGTTAATTTGTCATCCTGGTTGACCTCTGGTCAGTCCTGCTGCATCATTTGGAGAAGCTGCTGCCTCAGTGCCAGTGACAGTGTTGGGCTTCCCCTCCCAGTAGCTCCGTGGTTTGCGCTGGTGCAAAGTCTGTCGCCTTCCCTTGAGCAGGCGCTGACCCTGGGGTTGAACGGCTGGGCTGGGCTGGGAACCGGGCTGCTGTGGCTCCCAGTGCCTGACGGCTGAGTGCGACCCCTGCAAGAGCTGCGCAGAGCGTGTCTGTCAGCACCTTCTGTCATAGCTTTGGGGAAAATCCCTTTGGCCGCCTGAACTGTGGAGTGTGAAACTTCCAATTTGGAGGCTTCTTGCCGGTGAAGGCATGCAGACTCTGGAACTAGATAAAGACCTCATCCCAAGTGAGGAGCAATGGTGTGGGTAGCACTTCTAACTGCAGGGGATGTTCCTGGCGGGAGGATGGTCTTCTGCACCTCAGCAGGCTCAGAGCTGATCCATAGGATCAGCTTCTTTGTGGTTACCAAGAGTTGTTCAGCCTGCTTAGAATTTCAGAGAGTAAACATGAACCTAAAACTGATGTGCTTATTGTCCTTCTGTTACAGAGAAGGTCTTAAATACACAGTGTAGCGTTAAGTGCTCCTCTGCCATTGTTGTCTCCCAAAATCTCCATGTTGCCCCTTTATGACCACCTTTCTTCACTCTCTTGTTCAGCTGTGGCAGGGGTGCATAAAAAAAGAGAAATGGAAACATTTATGCTTGAATCACATAATTTAATCTCTTCTTGCATGGCCAGTTAATCTGCACTGGAAAAATACCAGTTTGATTCTTGGCACCAAGTGCTGCTTATGACTTGTTTTTCTTCGACAAATTAGACGATAATAAAAAAAAAAAAGGCAAAAAAAAATCCCCTGCTGCTGCTTCACTAAGGTTGCATACTTGATTTCATCCTAACTTGAATGTGTTTTATTGAACATAGTTATTATAAGGTACCTTTCTTGAATTTTCATGATACTTTGAACAGATTACTTTTGTCAGCTGGCCTAAAATGGCCAGAATAGGAAATGTTTCAGCCAATCTGTTTTTGCCTTGATATACTTAAGTTCATGGCTTTTAGTCACGCACAGGTGAAAAACAAGTATAGAGTGAGCCCTGACGGTTTTCCTCAGAGGTATTCCTGCAGAGCCATTGAGTAGGCTTCGCGGACATTTTGGGTAACCTCTACTCTCTTCCTTGGAATTTATTCCTGGCAATACCAAGGGACTGAATCCAGTGCAGTGTAGCAATGACATTCCAGGTGCACATCGCTTCAGGAGTAACAGGAAATGTCTCTGTTTGAGTCTGTTTTAATTGACATGAAATATTCAGGTGTGTGGTAACTTTGATGACTTCCATATAGGTTGGAAGATGATAGCATTGGCAGTAGAACCGAAGCTGTTCTACAGATTCGGGAACTGAGAATTCAAATTGAGTTAATTGAATGTCTTGGGCTGGAAAATATCAGGGATAGACTTGCATAGCAGTCGGAGAAGGAGCTGTCTTGTGCTTGGACCCAGAGGTTCAAGCGTATGAAAACTGACTACAAAATACAGGAAAATACTTAGTTTCCTGTGGAAACTTTCTAGCACAACAGGTAGAAGCTCAGAGTATAGTATGGCCCATGGTTAGTGCACAGAGTTGAGAGATGGGAGATAAAGTTAAAATTTATTCTTTACTGATACAAAGTACTGATGTGGATCAGTCTCCTTATCCTTCAGGACAGTATCCGAAGAAGGGGAGTGACCTTGAGGGAGCCAAACTGAATTCTTGACTAATTCTTTACTGGACATTGATGCGGAAGCCCACGTTTCAGTGATTGCTCTGAAGACAAGTACATGTCAAAAATATCCATGATTTACAGTCCAGAGATGATTTAAGCAATAAAATCAAGTACTTTGCCAGAGCTCTGGTTCAACTGGTGTTTCAGCTCCCAGCTAGAGCCTAGGGATCCAGTCACAAAACATGTTTTTAAAATGAGTTTACAACTGGTCTGGTTTTGTTTCCTTTGCCTCTTTCTAAACAGAAGGTCCGTGTAATCCGTGGAAGGGTTTCTCTTTGATTTCATGGGCAGTGGCAGCAGAGTTTGCTATCATCCTCCTGAGAGGTGATGACCTCTCTCTGGTGTGTTTGCCATGCCTCAGTGATATAACTGCATCTTTCTCACTAGCCTGAAAAACAAATCCCAGAACCTGTCTTAGTAATGGAAATGATCTCATCACTGCCCTAGGTTATAATAATGTGATGTAATAACAGAATACTTTCAAAAGAATTCTTTTTTTTTTCTTAAAAAAAAAAAAAAACCCAAACCCCAACTGCCCTGGTATTCAGACTTTCCTGAGGGCTTTCATTTACTGTTTACCTTAGAGAAATGATACGAATTTCCTGACTGTACCAATTTCCAGTAGCCTGTGTGTCAACGTCTGGAGCAGCGTTACTCAGCCCATGGTGCAGGGACGGGAGGTGGTCTCTAGGATGTGTGCAAGTGGTCCACAAAGCAGGAGCAAACAAGGCACCAAGAAGCTCCAAATAAATATTTATTTTTTTATTTTATTTTAAACAGATTGTGAGGAAAGTAAAAGTAACTAATGAACATTTAAACTTTAGCCTAACTTTTTAAAATGGAAAATATTTTGGCAATACTGCAAGTGAGAATTGGTGGACTTTCCTTAGAAATATCAGTTCTTCAATGTGAAAGTATTATATAGAATGAGATGGTTGCTATAAAAAATAAGACCTCAGTGTTGGCGAGGGGAAAAATAGCACACATATATTGACAGACAATGGGGCCATCACTGTAGAGGTTTTATTAATTTTCTGTAATGTTCATAATGAAATCCCCGGGCTGTCACCAGTGCTAGCTCTACAGCGACTGCTGTTTTTTCTCCCAGTACGTTTTCCCTTCCCAGAAAGATGGTTGATGAGATGACACTTTCCATCTCAGCTCATGCTTCTGCTGCATGCTGAGGTTTCCAAGACTGTCAGGATGTGTCGTGATGGAAGCTTTGGGGCTCTGGACTGATGAATACAGACACTGTGGAAGCCGATGTGTGAGTTGCCCAGACTCTTCAAGTAATCCCTGGAGGAAAACCAGGCACTTCCAGGATAAATTACTGTGATCCTAAAGCAGATATCCAACAGGCCACAGAAATTATGTGCTAGGAGTGCCTCTTTCTCTCTGCTAGCTAAGCACAGCTGGAGACTTCTGTGTGGTAGGTGTTTAAAGTTACGTGAGGTGAATCCTACTTCTGGTGTCTGTGTCTCTGAGCACAGCAGTCTCCTGTGCAGGCTGCACAGCTTTGTTTGCAAGTACTCTTTTTTTTTTAAGTTTTGAGATGCAATTTCCTATCAGATAAGTGGTAGCAGTGGTAATGATGCATCCTAGAGCTTATAGCAAAGAATACAGTACTTCTTTTTGTCTGTTGATAACAAAATTACTTTGGCAGACGTTTATAAGCTTAATTACTAATTTAAATGTTGCTCACTGTTTATTTTCACCACCTTAAGATGCTGGAAGCATATTTTTAGAGATATAAAGTAGGCTGTTTGCAAACAAGAGTCATTGTCTCTCCGTTGTTCCAGCTTCCATCCCTAAATATGAAGATTTAGGAAGGAGACAGAAAATACAGGGTCAAAAGCTTCCACATACACAAGTTCAGAACTATACACGATTTGACTCGGTCACATTTGTGTTTTTGTGGTTATCTGATAGTAAAGCCATTGAACTGACTCATCTTTGATATTTATCTGATATTTTCCTTAAAATGATCTCATCGTAAATCAGTAAAACTTTTTTTTTGTCTGATAGTATTTTAGTCAGTTAAAACTGTGCTTACATTCTTAGGCAGGATCTGTAGAGATGTGCACTTTTATAATAAATTATCCTTTTATCTTTGCAGTGATTATAAAGTTATATATTTATATGCACATACACACACAGATTATAATAAGGTCAGTACAAATGTGTATTTCTTGTAATAAGCAGCAGTCACGGCCCCCAAGGGATTGCATTTCAGAACACATCCATGATGAACAAGACTGTTAAGTGGGATGTTGGGGTAGATGGGGACGATGGAGTAAGGAGCGCA